TTACGAGTAAATCGGAGATATCTTAGAACCCTTATAATTGCTTTCCAGTGTTCTACTCCCGGATTACTCGTATATCTACTTAATTTACTTACTGCATAAGCTCAAAATAAATAAATAACATACCGGATTTATTTTGTCGAACCAAATAAAATTTTAAGACCAAGTCGAGTGTGTGACACTCTGTCCTTAAGACAGATTCGCCCCGCTACGGTGCTTACGGTTGAGTGGCGTCTATCTCCCAGGATACAATGATCTTCACAAAATTGTTGTAGCACACCAAACAAATTTGTACGTCGAACCAAACCTGTGTTCTAATACTCTCTTTAATTTATTCTACAACTAAAATGAAGAATAATGCAAAAGTAGAAAATTTTGGACAACAAAGAGACAACTAGACTGAATTTTCTCGGATGAAATAATTTTTTTTCCTACTTTCTAAACTGCTGGAACATATGGATATTTATAGGCAAAATCAAAAAGACCCAAAAAGGTGCCACAAAAAGTGAAAGGGTGCACCTCTAAATTCAAACCATTCCACTGACGGTTAAGCAGACCAATATAAAACAATTTGAAAAATTGACCGTTAATGGACAAATGTTCAACTAATTGGAAATAGAATGAACCGTTGGTGGAAAAGTAAAACTTGTGGGAACTAATTAATTTAAACTATTGGAATATATATATATATATATATATATATATATTTGAATAGTTTAATAAATAAAGGAAGAGGTACAAATTTTAAGAAACCACTTAGAAACTCAAAATTTGAATTTAGAATTAAATTAAATTCTCACAATTACAAACTTTAGGAAACCACTCAGGAACCCAAAATTTGAATTTAGAATTAAATTAAATTCCCACAATAATTTTTAATTGAAAAAATCTAAATGAATTTTATCAAATAAAAATTAATGTTAGACTCGAAAACGACGTCAACTTCCCATTCACTCATTAATGGTTTTGACGTTCCATCTTCACCGTGTGACTTGCCACGCGGCAAGGAACACTTCACCTCTTCGAACCCACCCCAAAAGACGTTTGGGGTCCACCCAAATTGGGCTAAATAATATGCCTATATAAAACCATTTTTTCCAACAAGTTGTTGTTAGAAACTTATGTGCAACAATTAAATTATCCTCCCATATATGAAGTGAATCGTAAAAGATTTGGGGCCTTGAGAATTGTTTGCTATTAAAATAATTTGTAAAATATTCCAAAAATAATGCCAAAAATATAAGAAAAAAATATTGCTAGCATGAATTCATGTTCATGAGTATTCAAAATAATTTGGGAATTTTAATAGGTTTCAAGAATTAATCGTAGTATTCAACATCTTCTAAAATTATTTAGGAATAACCAAAACATACAAGAGAGATTTGGGATTAATTCATTCAATGACAATATCAAGATTGATTCATTTATGAAACAGTTGGAATCCATGGAATGCACATAACATCAACATTGGCTTGAGAAAATGAAAGTAAATGAAATCCATGGAATGCAAATAACATCAACATCGGCTTGAGAAAATAAAAGCAATTATTTCTTTGAACTGCCTTTTTACTAGCAGTAATGCTACGTGCATAGAAAAAATACATTAAAGACAATGTAGGGCCAAATCTAGGGACATTAATTTGTTTACTCTATTTGCTTCTTTGTATTTTTCTGTGTCCAAATACACGTTAAGCCCTAGATCAAAGGAGAGGCGAGTGAGGGATTGAGGAATGAGGGGACAACATGTGGGGTGACATGAGACCATCATCATATGTTTGCGATGAGAAGCTACGTTGAAGCTTCTTCTGCCATGGCTTATTTTTCAATAGCGCCTCTCCTTTCTTGGTCTGAGCCACAAATGTTTGAATTCTTCGAAGTGCAACTGCAACCGTTGCATCATCCATGTTCGCGAAGCATACCCTAAACCAACCAGGCTCCACACAATGAAAAGAACTCCCCGGAGAGACATTGAGCTTCACTTCTTTGATTATCACATGCCATAGTGCCATTTCATCTTCAAATGTCGGTTCTTTGAGCAGCGAACGCAAATCCATCCAACAAAATAGTCCAGCATTGCCTGGTAAACAATTGATTTCCACTTCTTCAAGTCCCATTGTGAAGTGTTTGTGCCTATTCCCTATCCTCTTTGAGCTCTCACCAAGAAACCTCCCCACAAAATCATCGTCAGAAAGCATTAAAGCGAGGAGGTGTTGTGTTTGTGAGGAGACTAATCCAAAACTTGACATCTTTCGACCACAATTCACAACCGCGTCATTGTATGAATAAACAATGCCAACCCTAAACCCGGGAAAGCCCATGTCCTTAGACAAACTATAAACAATGTGAATGAGATCAGAATTGCATTCCAAGTGTTGTATGATCTCAGAAATGCTTATGAAACTAGGAGGCTTGAAGATGGTAGATGAATATATCTCATTGCATACTAAGTGGATGTTTCTTTTGTTAATGAAAGTAACCAAGCTTTTTAGTGTCTCCATGTCCAAGATGGTACCAAGTGGATTTGATGGGTTAGATATGATCAAGCCTTTCACTTTGATGTTGGCCTCTGCAGCTTTGTTGTATGCCTCTTCTAGTGCTTCTATGGTGATTTTGAAATTGTTTGAGCTCTTGCAGATAATTGGAAGCAGTTGCACACCCGTTCGCCATCTCAAGTCCCTATCATATTTGGTTATTAGGATGAAAGAGGTGAAAAGTGTAGGAAATTTTTTTAATGCATTTCTTTAGCATGATATTGAAAAGTGCAAAATAGTTAAATTTTTTGGCCAATCCATATCATTATAACAACTTGTCTTTCAATTTCTGGAGAGAAAAAAAATACGAAAATTATTTCTTGTGAAAGTAGCCAACTGCTATTTCACATCCCAAATTTTTTTAAAACATTTCAAAAAAATAAAGAAAAAAAATCTTAACTAAATGCTTACAAGATTATAAATTTCCTTTCATTCAATTTCAAATGCCCAAAGTGTATGAATGAGTTTGGTTAATACGAAAAAAGTGAAAAGTGCATAATCAAGAGAGGGGAAAAAAATAGAACTTTTTCTATATTTGTTAATTACGAGAGCACTGGAAAATACAACAAAGTTAAATTTCTTGTATATATATCTCATATATTAGTTTTGTAACTTTCTTTCAATTTCTTGCGAAAAATTATAGTAATATTTTTTTGAATAAACTACCAATAAGTCATAATAGTTGGATTTAATTCTCATTAACTCCTATTGAAAACAAGTCATTATAAAATCGTTACTAAAAATAATTTTTTGTGACAATTTTTTGCATGTCGCTAAAAATTGACATTTAGTTACTTTTTAATCACGATTTTTATAAATTGTGGCTAAAACTTACAATTAGTGACGTTTTACAGTGACAAATTTTTTAAACTGTCACTGAAAGTTAAAACTTAGTGACTTGTTTGTGATATTTTTTTTAAACTGTCGCTAAAACTTATAATTAGTAACATTTTTTGTGATAATTTTTAAACTGTCGTTAGGGGCGGGCAACGGTTTATCCGAACCGCTCAAACCGCCCAACCCGCATATAAATGGGCGGTTTCGCAAACATAATGCGGGCGGATGCGGTTTGAAATATGACAATTTGCGGGTTGCGGGCGGGTCACGGTTTAAACCTGCAACCTGGAAAAACCGCCCGCACTGTAATTATTATTTATTTTTATTTTTTTATATACCAACTTTGTAACTTTTACAGGAACACCATTATATTCTCTATGACACTAGGATCCTTATTTTTAAGCATTTCTTAACTTTCTTAATGCCGTAGAATTATCAAATCCTAAACTTGATTTCTTATATGATTTTCATTGGTTATTCATCCACTTTTTCCTAATAAAATTTTCCTTCTGGTGGTCGATAGAACTTCTAGTTTGATTATTGATTACTGAACTGACAATTCTAATTGAGTACAACTTTTAATGCATTGATATACATTTTTTTCATGGCAAAAATGCTAGTGTAGGGTTTCTTTGTTTTGGGTAATTTCATTTAATGCATTGATATTCAATTTTTATTTGTAAACTCATCAGAAAATTGTTATCACAAATATATAAAATGAATTTGATGCCTAAATTCGATGGGAAAAAAAAACTCAAAAATCAATTTTTAAAGAAAAAAGTGTAAACCGCAAACCGCCCGCAACCGCCCACACATTTGAAAACCCTATCCGCACAAACCGTAAACCGCACTGCAAGCGGTTGCGGGTTGACTTTTTTCCAAAGCGCATAGATGTGGGCGGGTCAAAACCAAACCACAAACCGTACAAAACCGATCCGCAAACACCCCTAACTGCCGTTGAAAATTAACAATTAGTAACTTTTTTAAATAGGTTTTAATGAAAAATATCATTAATTTTCACAGAACCTATTGGACAATAAGTCCACCTATTAAGGTCTACAAGTAAGTCCCTAATTTTTTTTTGTTAGAAAAATTATCCAAACAGTTATCTCAATTTCAAATTACCTTACAACTTCCACACGCAAAATTTATCTTAACCAAGCACTTACTATTTTTTTTTTTATTTCACTTTCTATTAGTTAAATTTCACAGTAATCAAATAGATTAGTGAAATCCATACCAAAAACAATTCTCTCAATAAGTTTCATTTGGCATTGACTTTTTTAATTGATTTTTTTGTGTTGGGACTTTTTTAACCTCATTTGATTTGGTTTTTTTTTATTTTTTAAACTTTTGTGAGAGAAAAAGTATAATAATTATAATTTAAATATAACATTTTATCTTATTGACTTATGTAGTCAATTTTGTCTTTTTATATTTTTTTAGCTAAAAATCTAAAACCAAACGAAGCTTAAGGCTTCGTTTGGGAAGATAGGTTGGGTTGGGTTTGGGGCTATTTTAGTCACAAAAAAACAAAATAAGTTTTTTGACCCAATAGAACAAAATATCACATCCAATTCATAATCATTACATTCTTTTTCTCACAAAAAGTTAAAAAAATCAAAAAGCCTTTCCTAAACGAGAGTTTTAGTCACAAGCTAAAATAGTCAAAAATTTAAAAAGCTAAAAATCCAACTTACTTCCCAAACGAACCCTAAAATTATTGGTAGTGGCTTGCCTCCAGTCCACCATCTGGACTGGAGGGTCCAATCCGGTCCATTGGGCCCATTTTTGGACCCCTTTTCGATAATTCGAACCGTTCATATTTTGGGATTCATTAGGTATATTATCCCTGTAAAAAATCACGTCAATCGGATAACGGATACTATGTATTCGGATCATTTTTTTATGAACCGTTAATTTTTTGACTGTTTAATTTTTTGTAGACGAAAGTGATCCGAATATATAGTAGGTGTTTGGGAAGTGGGTTTTTTTGTAGGTTTTTGTAGTTATAGGATATTATTGGAGAAAAAAAATTTTGTGTTTAGGAAGATAATTGGATTTTTTTGTGGTTGAATGTAATATTTGTGAGAGAAAAAGTGAAATGATTATAGGGTTTGATGTGATATTTTGTTTGAATTGATTTTTTTTGGTTTTGTAACTAATTTGTTTTTTAGTGAAAAAAAATTTAAAAAAACCAAAACACAAACTTCCCAAACACTACTATAGTATCCGTTATCCGATTAATGTGATTTTTTTATAAGGATAATGTACTCAATAAATCTTAAAATGTGAACAGTTTGAATTATCAAAAAAAAAACTAAAAATAGGCACAATGAAACGAACAGAATCGAACTGTCTCTAACCTAAACGGGAGGCAATCCGGCCAAAATTATCTTGCGAAGTCATCTAAGAACCTATTTTAGTCCATTAATGTAAAGAAAATGCAGTGGTCACACATAGGGTGTACATAATACCGCTGAAACAGCCGAAACTGTTAAAATCGCACCGAACCGCACCGCCAAAGCAAATTCGTTATTATTTGCCAATCGAACCGCCGGTTTTTTGTAAGAAAAATGGCAAATTCTAGTGACACTTTTATCAATCCGCCAGTTTCTAATTTTCTTCCAAATCGCACCGACCCGCACCGCTATTAAATCATGTTTTATAAGATTCTAAGCCTCCGTTTGGGAAGTGGGTTGGCTTTTTGGCTTTTTGGCTTTTTGGCTATTTTAGCCTGTGCTATTTTAGCCTGGTTTGGGAAGAACTTTTTGGCTTTTTGGCTTTTTTGACTTTTTTTGTGAGAGAGGATTGTAATGATTATGAGTTGGATTTGATGTTTTGTTTTTTGTGGCTAAAATAGCCTATTTTGTTTTTTGTGGCTATTTTAGCCAAAAAAGCCTGGCTTTTTTCTTCCCAAACGGAGCCTAAAAATTCTTTTTTACTTAAGTTTGCTTGTTGTTCTATACCTTAGAATATAGTATTACATTACTGCTCGAGGAGAATTCAAGATGTCAATAATCCAAAATAAAGTTGGATTGTAATTTGCAATTCATTTTTCAATCTTTTTTTTTCTGGCCATGTTGCAAACTTGCATCAGCTCACTTTTCAATCTAAATACTTTTCAACAGTAAACATTTTCAATATATTGTAAACCCTGAATGATATTAATTTTATGTGTTGTATTTGATCATGGTAGCTTACACAGATGCTTGTAATGAACTGATGGCATAGTCGTTAATATTATCATGTTGTTGCTACACTTGCTGCATCAGAAGAAAGCTTCGCAAAATACTTAACATCACGGTATCTCTCGTCTTTTTTTTACTCTTTGATTTAAGTTTTGTAATTTGAATTATATTTTTTATAAACCGTCAATCCGTCCGAACCGCCAAGGCAAATCTGTCATTATTTGCCAACCGAACCGCCGATTTTTGATAAGAAAAATGACAAATTCTAATAACACTTTTATCAATCCGTCACCTGCTATACAATTTTTATTTTTCTCTCAAATCACACCAAGTAACCCCACGTACACCCCTAGTCACACATTGGCCCTGTTTGGTACAGCTTAATTTCAGCTTATTTCAGCTTTCAGCTTAATTTAAACTATTTTGATGTGTTTGGTTTAGCTTATAGCTTATAACTTATAGCTTTGTGGAAGTCAGAAAACAGCTTATTCTTTGAGTGGGGCAGGATATGCTTTAAGAATAAGCTGGAAATCAGCTTAAGTTGAAAGTTATAAGTTATAAGCTGTTTAGGCATAAGTTATAAGCATTTTCCCACAGCTCTACCAAACGGGGCTATTATGGAAATGACCCAACTGAGTTCAAACTTTAACAAATAATTGTACGGTACTTGGTTTGAATATTTTGAGTACGGTACTTGGTTTGAATATTTTGAGAAAGAGGCCAGGTGTAATAATTGTACTGTACTTGGTTTGAATGGTTTGACAGTTCACATTCAAAAACAGATCAGTTGTCTTGAATTCATCAATTAATGGAGAGGTGGACCGGAGAAAAAAAAAAAAAAACTTTTCGTCTCGTAACTTGTCAGGTTATTTTGAAAAGTTAATAAAAAATTAATTTTTGATTTTTTATCAAATTTTTTAACTTTTTAAAAAGTGATTTGAAAAGTTAATAAAAAATTGACTTTTTACTTTTTAATTTAATATTTATTTATGATGTCAAATCAAATTAAAATGACGAAAATATTCTTGTCAAACTTTAAAATTCTACACAATTTGTTGATCTAGAGGGTATTTACGTAATTAGCCAACCTAGCTTTTTTATCACTTGGCAAATGCAACAATTGCCCAAAAAGCTAAGCCAACTTTTTTCTGAACCAACAAAAATGCGAGCGTTTTTGTCTCTTTCCAAAACGGCACTTAGTAATTGTAATCTGGAAATGTGAATGGGTAATATAGAAATATCAAATTTTTTATTAAATTAATGATCAAATATTTATGTGGCTATGGAGTCTATATTTATATAAGGCATTTAATTATTTATTTAATAAAAAATTTAAAATTTATAGCATTTTTTAATATCAATCTTTGTTCTACTTAAATTGGTAATGCTCCATTGACTAGGAAAAAAAATTAATTACATCAAAATCTTTTTCACTATTTGTGAATATTAACGTATTCTTTTTATTTATGAATTTGAATATTTTGTTCCCTTTAAATATGAAAATATATCATTTTTATTACTTTTAGAATATTTTTAAAAAGAGTATATTTATACGATTTTTAAAAAGAGCATATTTTATAATTGACGAGATCAATAGGAACGGGTTCATAGATTTTTTTTTTTTTGATGACTCAGGTATCCTCACAGCCGAAGTATGGGACTAATCCTGAGAGCCCTGAAGTTAACGACCAGGCAAACCTCCAGTGGCCCGCACAGTAACCCGTGGGGAGTGGGATTCGAACTTGGGACCTCCAAGAGGAGCAAACTCCCAGACCCCAGGTTTTCTTCCCTCACCCACTGGGCCACCCTTACGGGTTCATAGATAATGGGATAAAGTCATATTAGTTACTAATTGAGGGAGTTTTAATGTAATTAATCTGAAAAAAAAACGTAGAACGAGAATGGTCAAGTTAAGGGACAAAGAGAACAAAGCAAATCATTGGCCTTGTTTGGAAAGTTGACTATTTTAGTAAGCTATTTTAGTAGGTTAAAATTTTTGTGTTTAGGAAGTTTGTTTGATGTAATGTTTGTGAGAAATAAAATAAAATAATTATGAATTTAATGTGACATTTTATCTTATTAATTATTTTAACATATTTTATCTTTTTATAAATTTTAATCTAAAATAGCCTAAAATAGCCCTTGCAAAACAACGCCAATAATGCTATAAAGACAAACAAATTACAATAGGCAATATAGATATACTCACATACTGGCAAGTTGGTGGGTAAACGATTGGTTACGGTCAGCGTTGAGGAAAAATTTACCATCAAATTGAATCTTTCAAATTGATTGTTGAGGAATTGAGGCAGATTATATGTTACAATTTGATTTTATCAATTTTGTCAGTTTGGCGTAAAAAATGATTTACATGAGTTATTAAAGAATTTTATAAAAACTTGTAATACTTGGGTTGGTTGGTTTGTATTAGTGTAAAAAAATTTAAAATCGAAAAGACTGTAGATTAAACAAACTGAAAACTAGAATTCCAGTCATTTTTGAGCGGTTTGGGTCCTTTGATTTTACTTACACCCCTAATTTTGAGTTTAATATAGTATAAAATTTACGAATATATGAGTTTTTATGTTCTATTATGTATTATAATTTTATATTGTAATGAGAGGGTAATTTTTGGGAAAAATTGGGCCGAGCTGAGAGTTGGGCATTAAGGCCCAAAACGCGTAGGACTGCGTAAAAAGGCCGTACTGAATACTCCGACCTAGAGGGCAAGGTTATTCCGGCCTTGGGGAGACAAAGTTACTTCGGCCCAAGGAGGTGAGTTTATTCCGGCTCAAGAAGAGATAGTAGCTTCGGCCCAAGGAAGAGTAAGGCTACTCCGATCCAGAGACAACTCGGAGTAGGTCCGGTCTTAGAGTTAGTCCGGTCGCAGTATGTTCTGGGAGGACCGGTTTCAGAGTTAGTCCGGTCATGACATAATCTAGTTAGGTCGGTCAAAACTTGTTACTTGGAAGTCTGATCTAAGCACACCAAGGCTGAACAGGGACAGCCGAAGTAATGAGTTAAAGGAGAAGACCGAGCTAAGGATAGTTCGGCCTTCTCTGTGGCTCAGCATAGCCCGTGTTATTTCGGCCATGTGGTAGTTCGGCCATGAAGAAAACCATCCCACTTGGTTTAAGCAGTGGGGGAGGGTGTAAAAGGATAAGCATTATCCTTAGGAGAATGAATCCTAGGAGGACTCTGCATGGAGAAGTACAAGTCCTGCTAGGATTGTGCCACGGGAAACTTATAAAAGCCTACAAACATCACCTTGGAGGAGGTAATTGAACACAATCTTTTTGAGAGCATAAATCTTTGTCTGTTTGTCAAAGCTTACTGACTTAGGCATCGGAGAGGTTTCCGGCACACACCCGCCGGCTAGCTCACGTTTGTGTTTTCAGGTGACAAAGCGACGTCGTACGGAGGAGCGTGGACTTGGTCAACAGGATTATACGAGGAGAATTATTTCCTCCCCGTACATGTAATAATATTTTTATAATTAAAAAAATGATACGTACGCTGGATAGTAGGGTGTTGGAATCAAAAATGCGTCGCCGGGATTGGCCAAACAGAACATGAGAAGCTCGTTAGCCCCGGTGGCTCCGCCGCTCATTACAATACGGTTTGGATCAAAACTGACTCTACCACCTCTCACTCTTCTCATAAACTTTGCCAGCGCCTAAAATGAATAAATATAAAAATAAAAATAATAAATTGCACAATTGTCATTGGATCACCACTATTGCATCTCAAAATCCTAAGTTAATAATCACATATAAATATAAAATACATACAAAATGATGTGTTGAGCTATGAGTCTTTCTATTTAAAATTATTATGTCATACTGTGGATGATTCTTTACAAAATTATGAAAGAATAGTATTTTATTATAAACATGAAATTTAAAAATAAAATAAAATAAAATAAAAAAAGAATAATATTTTATTAGATACACAGAAAATTAGCTCATATATTTGTCACTTATAAACTAGATCCACTAAACTACAGCCCACCAAATTTTTTTATAATAAAAAAATGCATTGTTGAAAGTCTCAATTTTCACAATTTTCAAGACCCATGGTAATAAAGTCTCATGTCATATTTTTCAAAATCTTAAAAAAAAAAAAAATGAGACGTACATGCATCCATATATTAATTATAACGAGCACGAATTATTCTTATTTTTTGTTCTATACTCTTAGGTTGTTTCAGAAATATGGTTAAAAATTAATTTTTTTATTTTTTAAAAAAATTTATAAAAAAATATGATGAATGATATGATCCAAAATGATAGGAGTGTATACGGTTTGAATTGGTTCGATTTTGAGAAAATCTAAGAACCGAATCGACCCTAACGGTTCTGTGATTTTGAGAACCAGATCAGACCATTACACTTGTAAAATCGGATCAGAACCAAACCAAAATAACGGTTCGGTTTCAGTTTGGTTCACGGTTCCCAAAATTTCTATTTACAAAAATAAATTGTTAGTATTAGCAAAATAATTACTCAAACTAATTACATTTAACTCATGATAAAAACTAATAATATTAAGGCATTACTCAACATTACATATCTATATCATCCTAATATCATTAAAATTACAAAAAATCAATTAATAAAAATAAAACTTGATATTATATATGTGTATATATATATATATCTTTTAAAATTCGATTCGATTCGATTCAGTTCAGTTCGGTTCGTACCGTAATTTTTCCATAAAATTCATTAACCGAACCGTTTTTACGATTCTCATATTTCTTAAACCGAAATCAAACCAATTCTTAATAGAACCGAACTAAATCGTACGATTTGGTCTGGTTCAATCCGGATTACGAGTTTGAACAAATTTTTAAACAGCCCTACAAAATGAGTTAAAAGCTAGGAAGTGACTACTAATCCACTTCTCAAAAGAGTCCTTATATTGCCTTCAAAATTAGGAATAATAATTACAGAAAATATCATTTTACCCCCTAAATTTTTACCCTTTTTTAATTTGATCTCCAAACTTCGATTAATATTAATTTTACACCCAAACTTTTGAAATTTTGATCAATTTGCCCCTACCATCATATTTCCGTCTATAATTGGACGGAATGTGCTGATGTAACATTAAAATTCATTTGGAATTTCATTTTACCCTCCGAACTATACTTTAAAAATCAATTTGCCTTTCAAATATTAAAAAATAATAATAATAATTTAAATATTTAATAAATTGTTTTTTATCTCAATAATGAAAAAATTAAATTTTAAACAATATATGTACTTTGCAAAAAAAATAATAAAAAATGTAAAAATTATCATTTAGAATTATCTTGAAACTATGAATCATGAATAATTCGACAAATATATCGTATTCGTACCGAATACTTACCGACGTAAGATATTTCTATATACGTACTGAGTACACAAGACACGTACTCAAATTTTTCTTTCTTAATTTGTGGTGTACCCAGACATGTCTAGTATATACCCAAGCTATGTCGTACCTCAATCAAAATAATATTTTCTTCTACTACAAAGATAAAATTTCTTTTACTAGGCTTCTTTTTCATTTTTAGTTTTGTACTTAGGATGGTTTTTAAATTAAGCTATAGTTTGTAAGTTATTTAATATAATGATATTTAATTTTGATTTATCTTATACCTATGGCATTAAATGTCAATTGTATATTGGATTTAACAAATGAAACCATTTAATCAATTTATGTATTATTTCAAATTAAAAACAAATATTTTTTTTTACAAACATATTAAGTCGTGCCTGTACTTTATTTTATTTTTTTATTTTACTGTGTTCTTAGAAAAATTTATTGAGCTGAAAATTGCTTGACTACTCTATGTGTATTGTAACTGGTCTATTACCCAAATTAATTTCAATAGAATTGATCAACTGATAGTAATTTCAAAATTGGGTAGAAAAAAAATTTCAAATTTGATAAAGTATCCAGTACGGGTACAACATGTTTGTCAAAGAATTCATAATTCATAATCTCAAGATAATTCTAAATGATGATTTTTATATTTTTTATTACTTTTTTGCAAAGCATATATTATTTAATAAATTTTAATTTTTTTCATTATTGAGATAAAAAATTATTTATTAAATATTTAAATTTAAATTTTTAAAATTTGGGGGCAAATTAATTTTTAAGGCATAGTTTGGAGGGTAAAATGAAATTTCAAATGAACCTTTGGTGCTAGCTACATCAGTACATTCTATTCAATTATAGACGGAATGTGACGGTAATGGCTAAATTGATCAAAATTTTAAAAATTTAAATATAAAATTGATATTAATCGAAATCTAGAATCAAATTAAAAAACACGTGAAAGTTTAAAAGATAACCCCTAATAATTATTCAGTAATTCTAAAGTATCATATCACATTACTTCCTTAGTAATCAAAACCAATTACATGACAAAAAAAAAATAGTTAAAAGACAAAAATTTCATGTAAGAATATTTTGAAAGAGGGAGAGACAAGATCTTATCATTGAAATGATATATAAATATGCAGAGTGTTGATACATACATTTCTAAACTCTGGCAAGCCATGATAGTCTTGAAAGTTAGCAATGTCCTTGAAGGCATTTGCTCCTTCGGTGGTGCAAATGGCTGCATTTGGGTTTTTCCTAATCCAATCCTCAATTAGGTCGAACGATAGCTGCAACAAAAACCAACATAAAATTTGTTTGGCAATTGCTTTTAGAAAAAATTTATGAAAACAACCCATATTTTTTTTTTTTTTTTTTGTAAATTATACTAATCACTCTTGATATACTCTCATATAATTTTAATTCACATAACATTTAATTCATTTTACATCAATAATTCATTAGTTATATAATAAAAAAATAATGTTATCATATTTTTATACTAAAATGTATATTTTATTGTGATTTTCTCTATATTTATACACATTAATTTTGTTTATTTTATCCTTCATATAACAGAAATTAGTATAATTATATCAATTTTGTGAGTTTATTGTATTTTTTTTTAAATCTTATGAGTGATCAATGTAATTTACCTCATCTTTTATTAATATATAATATTGAAATACAAGTCATTCAATTACAATCATATTAATACGAAAAAAACGAAAACTCATGGGGGGGAAAAAAATCAAACACACACAGGATTAAAACTCACATGTAAGTGAAAAGATAAAAATCACTAACATACCAATGAAATGCAAAGATTCTAGGTAAGATTAACCATATTAGTTAACCCATGCTTTATGGCATACTAAAAAATATATACACAAAATTTTAAAAATTATCTTCACTCCAAGATTTTAAAAAATATAAAAATAATCAACTTGTTTGGTTTCATAACTCAGGATTCACTTTTCAGAAAATTTTTTTTTTTTTTTTCACTAAATTTTTTAACTATTTTAAGTAATTTTTTTAATTTTTAGATATACCTAGCATAAATACACTTTAAAAGTATAACATTTGTAAAAAAAATCTTTACAAAATTCACTAAATACCAAAAATTCAAAAATTCAATACATTTTTCATATTTTTGTGTATTTAATGATTTTTTAAAAATATTTTCATATATATTTTTTACTTTTTAGACACATTTAAGTAAAGTGCATCTAAAAAAGTAAAAAAATTATTTAAAATTTTAAAAATATTCACTAAAAATTAAAAAAAAATGTAATTTTCAAAAAATTAAATTCATGAAATTAAAACCAAACACACCAATAGTGTTAGTTTTCGAAAAACAAAAACAAACAAAATGAAAACACAACCGAACAGAAGGCGCTTTTACAAAACCTGATTTTCAGAAAGACCCATTTGGATGACTCCATTACGGTTTTCTATAGGGTGAAAAGGATCATTATCATATGCCTTCCACCCATCAAAGTAAGCACAATTCTCTCCATGACCATCATTGGTTGCTATCTTTGATAGAAGTTGGTGATCATCATTTGCACTCACTAACCCCATTTTCTTTATCTCTAAAGACATAACTAATATTCTCTATCAGTGTATATAAGAAAGCAACAATGCATTGGCAAACAAATGGGACTAATGAGAAGCTATTTATAGACATTGAGAGAGAGGAGAGAGAAGAAGAAGAAGAAGAGAAGTTGAAACCAGCTTAGTTGGAAAACATGCCCCAAAGACAAGAAGAGAAAAAGTCCACTTTAACGTCCACGAGTTTGGAAAACAGCCCCAAAGACAAGAAAAGAAACCATGTTGGAGACTTTAGGTTGTGATCAGACCATCATAATGGCCTTAAGAATCATCATGATTCATCACCACCACGTCAGGAATGTTGTTAGGCAGTAATGGGAGTGAAAAATTGTTATTCATATAGTATTTGTTAAAATTGTTGTAGGGAGTGAAAATTCACAGTTGGGGTTGGGGGTGTGCGCGGTGCGGGTCGGTGCGGTTTGAAAGAAAAATAAAAATCGTATGGCGGGTGGCGGATTGATAAAAGTGTCACTAGAATTTGCCATTTTCCTTATCAAAAACTGGCAGTTCGGTTGGCAAATAATGGCGGATTTGTCTTGGCAGTTCAGACGGATTGGCGGTTTATAAAAAATATAATTCAAATTACAAAACTTAAATCAAAGAGTAAAAAAAAGACGAGAGATACCGTGATATTAAGCATCTTGCGAAGTTTTCTTCTGATGCAGCAAGTGTAGCAACAACGTGATAATATCAAAGACTATGCCATCAGTTCATTACAAGCATCTGTGGAAGCTACAATGATCAAATACAATACATAAAATTAATATCATTCAGGGTTTACAATATATTAAAAATATTTACTGTTGAAAAGTAATTAAATTGAAAAGTGAGTTGATGCAAGTTTGCAACATAGCCAAAAAAAAAGAAGAAGATTGAAAAGTGAATTGGAATCCAACTTTATTTTGAATTACTGACATCTTGAATTCTCCTCGAGCAGTAATGTAATACTATATTCTAAGGTATAGAACAACAAGCAAACTTAAGTAAAAAAGAATTTTTAGAATATTATAAAACATGATTTAATAGCGGTGCGGGTCGGTGCGGTTTGGAAGAAAAATAGAAACCGGCGGATTGATAAAAGTATCACTAGAATTTGCCATTTTTCTTACCAAAAACCGGCGGTTCGATTGGAAAATAATAACGAATTTGCCTTGGCGGTGCGGCTCGGTGCGGTTTTGGTGGTTTCGGCGGTATTATGCACACCCCTAGTTGGGATGGTCCAAATGGAGGCATGAGAAGGTGGGCCTAATCGCAAGGTACCTCTACGAAAGCCTAACGTTGTGTTTCGGTTAGAAAATTTAAGAAGGAATTTAGAAAAAGAAATAAAAAAAAAGTATGTGAAATTACGTAAAATATAGGTATATTTTATTAGGATTGAGTAAAGAATCCATAAAATTCATAATCCGATCTGACCCAGTTTAATTCGGTAGGTTTGGATTGGTTTTTTGAATCCGTGGTTTGGTTCTTGATTGAAAAATTAAAAATCCGTAATCTACAGATAGGTTCCGGATTGAATCTCACGGTTTCGGATTGGAATCGATCCGAACCGTATACAAATAGCCTATATTTATATTATACACCCTCCCGGCATAGTATCTTCTCTTATTTCATATAAAATCTAAACCCGTATAATATCTTCTTTTATTACTTTTGTTTGTTAGTTTTTAGTTTTAATTTGTAATGGTATAAATATTTATGGCGAAACCAGTTTTCTTATGATTGTTTAAATTCTAGAACAGTATGTCGCTATTATGAAAAGACATGTTATTATTGTGAAACTAATATGATGCTATGTTTATATTTTTATGAAATTAAAATATTCTATATTTTTTTTTTGTTATTTAATTATGTGAATCCGTGATCCTAAACCGATCTAATCTGTTTTTAAATGGATTGATTCGGATTAGTTCTACAATTTAAACGGATTGAATTGGCTCCAAATTTTCCAGAACTGTAGATAACGGATTGGTTCTGGCTTTATCCCAATCCAGACTAATTCGGACTACGCTCACCCCTATATTTTATTCATATTTCACTTACTTTTTTCCTTTCCCTTTCCCTTTCCCTTTCCTTTTCCAAATCCTTTCACAAATCTCCCAACCAAACACAGCGTAAAAGAAATAAGCAAGCTAACAAACAGGTTGGAAACGAAAAACCATTATTATTGAACAAATAGATCAGTTAAAAGAAGCACAGAATAGTCGACCAATAAAAGGAAAAAGACATGGATCGATGTAGAACTATCAACATGTTTATTAAAACTCTCTCTCTCTCTCTCTAGTTTGAGAGCTTCTCTCTCTAAACTTTTCTTCCCCTAGGGTTTCAAAGTTTGTGGCTACCGGCAGTGGGGGAGGGGTTTCCGGCAGCCTTCGGCCCCCTCTCCCCTCCCCTTACCTCTCCCTTGTTCTTTCATTTCCTTACTTAGCTTTCCCATAACTTGGAAGCCTTGGCTTTCCATCCTCTCTCTTCTTTGTGAGGTGTTTTTCCCACATCCATTCACTCCAAGAGTGGCCGTCATGGATCCACGCCTTCTCCGCTGCCTTCAGCACCTCTTTCCTGTCGTCTTCTTCATAGAGTGATTTGCCGACACTGGATTCGCTGACGCCGGATTCGCCTCCCCAACAGCCTTTATCGCCTCTTATCCACTTCTCCCGTCGCCTTCACCGCCTCTTCTCCATCGCATCTTCATCACCGTTCTTCTCCACCGCCAGTTTCGCCGAAGCCGCTGCCAGATCTGGTTGGGTGTGGGTATGGGTCTGTTTTGTTTTGCTTTGTTTGTTAGTTTTAGTCCTCTGTTTTCTTTGGTTTTCCTTTTCTATGGTTTGTTTGGTTTTGGTTTGGTTCTCTTAGAATCCATCTGTGCGATTTGTTAAGCTTACCCACATTGTGGTTGGGATCTATGATTTATTTCAGACATGCTCTATTGCCAAACTTTTATGATTGGCTCTACGTCACAGTACGAGCACGAATATGATATGTACGTCTGAATATTTTCATAGTTTTCTTCCTTAGTGCTTATTGCTTTATTTTCACTTTGTTTGGTGTAATTTTGGATTGTTGGACTCATGTAATTGTCATTTTGGCTTTATTAAATGACATATTTCTTCCGTACAAATATTCAAAAAAAAAAAAGTAGAACTATCTGATGGCTGACAGCGTCCAATGGGTAGTCGGATGTCAACCAATGAGGGCATCTACAATATTATAAATAATGGAAAGAGGCAACAAAACCAAAGAATCCACAACTAGCCATTTCTTTTTTGCTCTTGAATATCTCAATATTGACTTGATTGTTGGAGTGCTCTTCAAACCAACACTCAGGTGAGGAAATATCTAACAGTCTTATTTGTTTTGCAAGTTTGAGGGAAACAAAGGCGGTGTTTGGGAAGAAGGTTGAGAGGCTATTTTAGCCTTATTCAAACAAATAGTCAAAAAGTTATACTGTAGCTGAGTTTTTTTTTTTTTTTTTATCAGAAACTGATGCGGACAGATATTGCATTTTTTATCAGAAATTGACGCGGACAAATTTGGTAGAAGTGTCATGATTGTGTAGGACAGATTTGAAATTATGATTTTGCCTTTTTAATTTTTAACTAACCCACCAACCTAGCATTCCAACACATAGGGGCAATTTAGTCATTTCATATTCCAACAAATCAATCATCATGTACTTGCACAACTTCATTACGTCAGGCACAACTTTTTGGAAATAATTTAATTATTTTTTATCTCAATATCATTTCAAACATATTTTTCAATACAACAATGAAACAAAAAATTCAATCCATCTTCCCAAACATAAAAATTAAAATAACTAGTTAAAAAGTCAAAAACTTAAAAAATAACCGCTTCTCAAATACCCACAAAATGTTCATCTTTTTCTCATCGAGGGTGAGGCAAATCCACCCTCCACAATGATGATGGTGGCATTTTTATAATTAATATCATTTAAATAGGAAAATTTTAATGATAATTCCCAATATAAACCAAATCATTCTTCAATCAAATTCTGTTTATTTTTATTTATTTATTTATTTATTTTGGTAAATAAAGCCTAGCATAGAAAAAAGAGTTGAGCAGTTACACTTGAAATATGTATAGAAAGAAAAGTATTAATAGAAAAAATAGTGAGGCCTCATAAATAGAAAAGATAATAAAGATATTTGGAAAACTTACAAAAATATAGGAAAATTTACCTATAAATCTCATCTTGAGGAATGATGATCCATTTAGTCCTAAGGATTTTCTTATAGACCAATTAGTCTCATTGATTTTAGAAATATAGATTTAATATATTATTTAAAAATTAGATTTTAAGATTATACCCTTATTTCTATTATGTTCCTTCTCTTTTTTTTTTCCTTTTTCTTTTTTTTCTTTTTTCTTTTTTTTTTTTTTTGTGGTAGAAATGTAAGGTATACAATATATGGGAATCAAATTTGGGATGAATTTTTATATACAAATCTTTTTTATTTGGAAAACACTTCAAAAGGAATACAAAAATGACTTAAAATATATAATTCTTCAAACATTTCAAAAGGATGTGGGATTTTTCAAACATTTCAAAAAGAGTACAAAAACTACTTGGTAAGTTTTGGTCAAATGTCTAATTTCAAACCGTAATACTCCAATGTAATACTCAAACATAACACTCCAATATAACGCTCAAACAAAAAATCTTAGTGCAATACCCTAATGTAACACATAAAAACTCTCTTACTGTACTTTTCCCAAACGTAACACTCTAATATAATACTCCAAAAAAACTTCTTAGTTTAACACTCTAATGTAATACAAAAATTCATTATTGTAACACTCTAATGTAACACACACAAAAAATTTCTTACTGTATTTTTTCTAAACGTAACACTCTAATATAACACTCCAAAAAAAATTTTAGTGTAACACTCTAATGTAACACACACAAAAACTCATTAGTGTAACACTCTAATGTAACACAAAAAAAAACT